CCGACATGAACAGTTTATAATTACCCAAGCCTAGTTTCACACATAGCTTTTCAACACTGATCTCCATAGAGCTCACCCTGCCTTATCACCACAGGAAGAGGTCCAGCCACATGCTAGACTCACAACTCTAATTCTTACACATTTTTAGTTGCTTCTAAGAAGATAATATGCTCTTTGCCACAGTCCAGAGAAACCCATGCATCAGTTTTGATCTTTTCAATGATGGATGCTCAGTGCTTTACTGGAAGACCATTCATTCTGCTTTATGGTTTTCTTTGAAGTCAAGAAATTATTTATCACAACGTATGTTTTGTTCTCTAGACATTCTAATTGTTACCAGTGATATTATGAAATACAAAGAATTTAAGACAAAAATCAGAAAGCAATACTGAACCATTTGGTGTGAATTTATATTTTATGCCCGAGTGGTCAGATTTCTTATTTATGCTCCAGTGATATAAGCATCTTATATGACTAGGAAAAATCCAAATATCAAGAGCTTCCCATTAGGCTCAGAAGCCAGCAGCCATTCAGATAGAGTTTTCTACATGAGTTGTCAAGGTCCAATAGTAAATTAGAGACAAGGTATCAGAGACAATGCGGTAAAGCAGAAACAAAATCATCTCAGATATTAGCACTCATGCACAGATAACAGGAGGAGTTTCGGAGAGAGGAAGTTTTAAGTTCATAGGCTATACTCATGGGATAAGTAGTTTTTCTTTTTAAATTCAAAATTATATATATATATGCATATAATACTTCAACCAGACCTTCTCTTTTTCTATATCCTCCTCATCCCAGTCTTTCTCTTATGGTATAACTGGTAAGCAACTGGTGTAAAGCGAATGGCTATTACCAGTAAAAATAAGAAAACAAAATTATCTCTTATTTCCTAACATGAAAATAATTTACATCATTATAAATTTTAGGAGCAAATTAAGTCACCCCACCCATTGGTATCTAAACTTCTTCCTAGCTATAGCATAGGACAAATGGAAACACCTCCTTGGAGGGCATGGCTTGGTGGGGTTACTGAATATTCTGTTTGCTCCATAGCAAAACCATATCCCTCTCCATTCTGCCTCACGGCCTGGGCAGCTGGCTTGCATGGTTCTGACTTCTGGCTGGGTTTGTCCAATAGGTGGTACTGGTAAAAATCAGAAGAGAGTAAAATCTGGGTATTTGCGCTCTGGCTTCATTCTTGCCTGGTCAGCAATGACTTGTTTCCTCCACAGATAGCCCCAGCTCTGGCTCTAGGTCTAGTAACTGTTTCCTTTCTTTACCTCTTGGGGCCTAGAGGTGGTTTTGCCACCCATGTGACTATCCTACATGCTTCTCCTTGCCCATGCCTTTTGTAGATGGTCACTTCAGTCTTAAACTCTTATAGTCATCTGTCTCCTGCTACAGTGATGACTGAATAAGAGGTCCAGCTCTTGAACTGGCTTATGTCACCACAAGAACAAAGGCCAGTTAAAGCATGAATGGTAATAGAATCAAAGAGACTTAGTGATTACTCATATCAGTATATAACCTGAAAACGGTTCTCTAAATTGACTAGCTGTGTATCATGAGGAAAGATCAACCAGCTCATCCCCCAAAAGCTGAGCAGCGCCAAGGTTTCCACGTGTGGTCAGGCTTTGTCAAAGGGTCTTGGTATTAGAGCAGACGGACTCTGGAAGGGTTGGAAGTGGTAGTCTTAGGGCCAGGGTGACTGACAATTTCTATTCTAGACATAAATAAGAAGTCTTGGAAGGCACTTCCAAGGACAGAAAGGCTGCAGAGGACCAGCATTCATACAGACTCCCAGTGAGCCACAGTCTATGTCTGGTGTGTTATACATTTCTTCTTGTTTTGTCTTCCCCAAACTGCTAATTGGCCACATTACAGAGAAAAGGGAAGGTCTGGAGAAGTTTGGTAGTTTACTGAAAGACACACTACTACTAAATAGGAGGGTAAGATGTCATCCTCCAAAGCCCATGATCCTTCCACTATCATTTCACTCTTTAATGAACAGGATTTCATTTAAGGTCATGATGAAGACATGCATACGTCTGCCTGAGTGGTATTTCCTGAAAGAGCAGACAGTATGAATAAGTTACATGTCTACTCCAAAGATGGCAATGGTTAAATCGTTACTGGAATCTATTCTACAGGAATTACCTTTGGAAATCACAGTCCATTCTTTTGAAAGCCCTTTATCTTTTGAGAATGGAGCTCTATATCCTTTGAAAGGGTACAAGGAATGTATTGTGTTTGAAAACAGGGAAAGCCATGCATAGGAAGCAGGTCCATAATAAGGTTTGGATGAGAGTAAGAAATGTTCCTGATGCTGGCGGAACATGAAGTCATGAGGTTGGGTTTCTCCTGTACTTTGTGTATGGATCATGAAGACAATTCTATAGAGGAGCTCCCAAAGTACCCTGAACAATGGTAACCTCACAGAAAGAGGTAGACTCCAGGAACAACCGCAGCTGACCACTTTACCGTGACATTTACAGTGTTGATAAGACCTATGTATCTGTTAAAAATTCAGCCTCAAATGTTGTAGTAGTAATGTATACTTTGAAATAAACAGCACTTTGTCAAAGAAATAGAAACATGCTATATTAAGACAAAAATATTATATATGTGTGTATGCAATTTTTAAATGAATTTATTAAAATTATTCATAAAACAACTACAAAGAAACATCACAGGAACCAACTTGGTAAATAGAAATCTTCCCCAGTTTGAGCCAGGTAGGGGGGCGCACATCTCTAATCCCAGCACTTGGGAGGCAGAGGCAGGCAGATCTCTGTGAGATCGAGGCCAGCTTGGTCTACATAGTGAGCTCCAGGCCAGCTGGGGCTACAGGAAGGCCCTCTCTCAAAAAGACCAAAAAAATATTCCCTCCTCTGTCTCATTCTCTACCACTCTTTAGCAGCACTGGCTAGGTTCAGACCTTCTATTTCTGAAAAAATAGAAACACAATTAAAATTGAGACATGAACCGTGCTCCGGAACAAATACTCACATAGTCATCAGTGGCATCCTTGACAGCTGTCATAGAGACCACCAAGACCAGTGGCACAATGGTGGTGAACCAGGTCAGGGAAGAGATTTCTGGAATCAGCTGAAACAAACATTTCCAGTAGTTTAAGTCTTTTTCAATTAAATCCATCTGCTAATTTTTGTCAATTAATTCTATAAAACTTGCCAGAATAAATGGGGTTATGTTCAGTTATTTGTACAAATATAAAACAGCTTTCAATAATTCGAGTATTTTCATTCAATTACAAAACATATAAAGAAGTATCATTTCTGCCTATTTTCAGACTACCAAATAAAAAAAATAAAATACAATAAAAATTTGCAGCAAGCTGAAAAGCAAGCTTCTTGAAATCTTTCACAGATGTCCATCGTTCTCTGGGTCATTAGGGGTCACCTATCAGCTTCTCTTACCAGTTTTTAGTCAGTTTACCAACTCCTTTTCTCATTACTTCCCAAAGAGAGGTACTTTGAACATCTACCTTATACCAGATGCTAAGCCAGGTATCTCCATATATTTCCATCTGATGTCGAGAAATCTAAGTTAGTTTCAGTAGTAAAAGCTGTTTGTACAAACCAATAGCATATGTAGTCCATGTAAATAACATTTCTCCTGCTGTGCAAAACAGAATACACTGTGAATGATAACTCAGTATCAGAAACTCCTACAACCCTGAATATCATATCCCTATTATTTTTCTATCCCTACTTACCACCGAACCATCTAGCATGTCAAGAATCTGGGGCAAGAGCACACACTGCTAAGATAAGTGCCTAGGTCTCCTATTCCCTTGTGCCTGTGTCTCCAGTGCCACCTCCTGAGACAGGCATAGGACAGCGTGACTCTACAGTAGGTGCTTTTTCCTAATCAGGTTCACTTGGGAGCTGCTTCAGGGCCATCAAGCTGGGAAAAGTAGAGCTGAAACTGTCAGAGGATGAAGATCAAGTCTCATCAAATAACTCAAAGCTAAACCAATTTTATATAACGGGTTCTATGTTTTTTTTAAACCTTAACATCCCCTGAGTGTTAAATAATAGAAACAAGTTCCAGTATTCTACAACACACTAGGGTGACTACAGGCCACGATATCTAATTGTTTTATAAACAACTAGAAGAGAGGAGGTCAAAGATTCCCAACACAAAGAAATGATCAATGCTTAAGGAGATAGAAAGCTAATTACCCTAACTTAATCATTACACATTGCATACATGCTCTGAATTCTCATACTGTATTCCATAAATATGTACATTATTACATGTCAATTCAAATTTTAAAAAAACTTTAAAAGATAGAATAAGAAAACAAAGCAAAAAGTCTTTGAAGATGGAGTCCAAACATTGGGCTGGTAGCAGAAAAACTGTCCCCACCCCCCACCTTTAACTCATGGTGAGAGCTTCACACATCACCTACCCTCTGTGGGTCCCAGTTGTTTATCAGTAAAATAAAGAATGTTGAACTAAACCATCTCAAATGTCCCTTCCAAATTGTTTGAACATGTGCCTGAGACTACAAGTAAGAAAACCACCAGAGAAATAAATTCACAATTCTGGAATATGTGAAAAGTTGCATAAAGAATCCAAAAGTAATTTTGTGGTCCTGGTGGGGAGGAGAAATATTGGGTTCTAAATTTCCTTTAATGAATAGCAAGCTGTTCATTCACAGGGTTCTGTCTGCTTGCTTACTTGCTTGGTTTAATTTGGTTCTGTCTGGTCCAGTCTGGTCTGGGCTGGGCTGGTTTAGTTTGGTTTGGTTTTTTGCACAGTCAGCATTCAGCTATTCTCAACTATATCGTTATTTGTTAGGGAACTGTACTACTCTAATTTCAGTCCTAATTTTACTGGGCTGACTCCATTCTGGCCTAGGTTTGGGCAAATACTCAAGACAATCACTGTACCAAACCCTTGAGCACCAGTGATCAGTTTAGGAATAAGGATACAGCTCCAATCAGAATAAATCCCAACAGAAAAGGGACTCCCTCCCCTCCACCCTTCTCATTCACTGGAGAGCTAGGAAGATAAAATGATAACACTGGCAGACCACAGGTAGAGCAGTCCTAGCTGAACGTGGCCACGGTGGGAGAAAACAGAAAAAGAAAAGCCATGCTCTCGTAAAACCGCTACTGTGTGAATTCAATCACACTTGAACAGACATACTCCACGGGGTACATTCATCTTCTGTTTGAGCTAATATGGATTTCTGACACATACAACCAAAAGATTAACACAAAATAGCTAGTCAACTAAAGGAAAATAGTCCTCAACACTGTCCATCTAGATTTCACGAAGCCAGACCATCTTCTTAGAACACAGAATTGGCATAGACCCTGATTTGGATCTACTAATCTGATCTGCTTAAATTATCTAAAATAAATACTAAATAACTGGCTAATACAAGCTATTTATGTGTATGCTATTTCTTGAAATATTTCCTTTTCCTTCCCAAAGCAGCAGTAACATGTGAAATTTCATTTAAATCCAATTTTTAGTTAAATGGAGAAAGGTTATTAACTAGCAATTAACTGCTCAAAACTGAAAAACAAAAAGTCACCCTACAGTGAAAGAACAAAGAACATATATAAGCTATCATTTATTTTATGAATACACACCATTGTTCTTAAAGGGAAATTTGTTAAGTTCTATAACCTTCACAGTCTTAGACTACCAAGACTCTGTCTAAACTCTATCCACCCCCAGGCTATCAGGTGGGAGAGCGATAAAGAAAGGAAGAAAGTCATGAGTACTGATTATTAGGCTCCTTTTTGTTTATTTGGAGACAAGGTCCCCCTGTAGCCCCATTTGGCCTGGAACTCACTATATAGACCAACCGGGCCTCGATCTCACAAAGATCCACCTGCCTCTGCCTCCTAAGTGCTGGGATTAAAGATGTGCACCACCACACCATGTGATTATTAGATCATTTGTTCAAATAAAGTGCAGGGCTGCATATTAGTGGCTGGAGAGATGGCTCTGCTGCTAAGAGCACTGGCTGCTCTTGCAGAGAACCTGGTTCAGTTCCCAACACCCACAAGGTGGCTAGCAACCACTCATAACTCCAGTTCCAGGGGTCCACTGCTTTCTTCTGGCTTTTGTGGGCACTGCACGTATGTGGTACACTTACATACATGTAGGCAAAATACTCAGATACATAAAATAAAAATAAATAACTTTTTAAAAATAAAATAAAATTACCTAGATATTTAAGTTGATAAATGCACTCTTTTAACATATTCGTAGCTCTCCCTCATTTGTAGGGAGAAACAGTAATAATATTAAAAATCTAATAAGAATAGTTTTACATAATTATGAACATTGAACTAAGTAAATCAGCTTAGCTTTTCAAATTATGTGAATACTTTTAATAAACATAATGAATAAATACAGCCTAGATATTACCTGTAGTATCAGAAGAAAAAGGAAATAGGCATTCGCCACTCTCTGGAACTGCTCAAATAAATTAATTGGCAAGAATGTGAGAATGTTGTACTTGGAAGTGTGGATACGATTGTCCTGAAAGAGAAATAGCATCATGTTAGCTTGGAGCAAGGATTGCTCATTACAGCTCTAAAACTTACAAGGCTGAGAAAAGTTATGCCAGAGCAAGAAAGATAAGGCAGAGGCTGGAGAGAGGCTCAGTAGTGAAAAGCACTGGCTGCTCTGGCAAAGGACCAGGGTTCAGTTCCAAGCACCCACATAGTGGCTAACAACCAGCCATATCAATGGTTTCACGGCACCTGACACCCTCTTCTGGCCTCCATGGTTACACACATGGATCCTTTACATGCAGGCAAAAATACTCATAAACATAGAATAAAAATAAGATCCTCTTCCCAATATCCCTTCTTGGGCCTTGGCCCCTTCCTGCTGAGACTGCCAGAGAACTCCTGACCAGCTGGGTAAGATTGGCAGATCCCTCTGCACCAACACCGTTACCTGCTTTGGGACCAACCCCAGTCCCACGGCTCCAGGGTTCACACCTTCTCTTCTTCCAACGTAGAACTGGCTCAACTGATCCCCATCACCCTGACTTGGGTGTAGGCTCCTTCCCTCTGCTGGAGAGCTCCTGACTAGCCTGCCTGAATCCATCCAGCCACTCCAATAAAAAAATTTAAAAAAAACAAACAAACAGAACCTGAAGCACAAACCAACTAATTCTTCAGACCTGATAAAAAGCAACCAAGCAACAGTATAAACAGAATCAGACTGCAACGCAAGAAAGGCAAGCTTGACTTTCATATCAGACACAAAACCAACAAAAGAAATCCATATGCCCAGGCCACAGTAAAAAACGCAGATAATATGAAAAACCAAGATAATATGTCCCCACCAAACCCCACCAGTCCTGTAGAAGAGTTCTACAATGAATACTACCTAGAGAAACGTCAAGATACAGAATTTAAAAGAACAATCATGAACACTCCCACAGAATTCAACAACCTTAAAGAACTCAAAGAGGACATGACAAACTCCTGACTGAAGATCAAGAAAATACAAACATGTGGATGAATGAAATGACAAAGACGATCCTGGGCTTGAAAAGTGAGTTCATAAAAGATATAGAAATATTGAAGAAAACTCAGGCTGAAATGAAGACGGAATTGAAAAACTCAATAAGCAAATGTGAAACAACAGGAAAACGGAATGAATGAAACGTAAAATCAACTATCCAGACTGGACAGTAAAATGGAAGAATTGGACTGCTCAAGCAAGAAATGTGAAAAAAAATTTTAAACACAGAAATGGAATATGGGACACCATGAAAAGACCAAATTTATGCATCATAGGCATAAAGGAAGGAAAGAATCTCAGATCGATGGCATTGACCAGATCTTCAACAGGATTACAGAAGAAAATTTCCCTAAATTAAGGAAAAGCTTATACATACAGGTACAAGAAGCACATTGAACACTAAGAGGACAGGACCACAGAAGAAACCCCACACGGCACATCATAGAAAACAGCAAATGTACAAAACAAAGACAGAACACTGAAAGCTGCAGGAGAAAAGCAAGATACATATAAAGGAACCCCCCCCCAAAATAAATAAATAATAAACCCATCAGAACTGTGGCTGATTTTTCAATGCAAACTATAAAAGTTAGAAGAGCCTTGAGCAAAATATTGCAAGTTCTAAATGATCATAGATACCAACTCAGAACATTTTACCCAGAAAAACTATCTATCACAATCAAAAGGAAAGATTTTCCATGATACAAATAGGTTGAAAGAACCCATGTCCACCAAATCAGCCCAACAGAGAAAACTCAAAGCAACTCAAAGAACTGAGGAAAGGAAAGACCACACCCAACAGGCTACTGAAAGAAAACAAATGAAAGTATAATTACGGAAACAAAATAGGACCAAGAATACAAACAAAATAAACTGACAGTAACTAATACACATCTTTCAATAATAACCTTAAATAGCAATGGCCTCAACTCCCCAGTCAAAAGACAAACACTAGTTGAATGGATTAAGACACAAAATCCAACCATTTGTTGTCTACAAAAGACTCATCTCACCTGTAAGGATAGGCATTACCTCACAGTGAAAGGATGGGAAAAAATATTTGAAACAAAGGACACTAAGAAACAAGCAGGTATTAGAATTCTAATATCTGACAAAAAAGACTTCAAGTTAAAATTAATCAGAAGAGATAAAGATCACTTCATTCTGATCAAGGAATCATTAACCAAGAAGACACTAAAGGACTGGAGAGATGGCTCAGTGGTTAAAAGCACTGACTGCTCCTTCAGAGGACCTGGGTTTGATTCCTAGCACCCACATGGTGGTTAACAACCATCTACTACTCCAGTTCCAGGGGATTCAACGCCCTCTTCTGACCTCCACAACACAAGTGCACTTACATACATGCAGGCAATACACTCATACATGTAAAATAAAAACAAATAAAATATTTTTTTTTAAAGAAGACATTACAATTCCAAACATATATGCACCAAACTTTGGTGCATCCAATCTCATAACCATATTACTACTGGACTTCAAGACACAGATTAACCCCAACTCAGTAATGATGGGTGATTTCAATACTCCACTCTCCAATAGACAACAGGGAAACATATTAATTAAATGATATCCTAGGGGCTGGAGAGATGGCTCAGCAGTTAAGAACACTGACTGTTCTTGCAAACAAATCCCAGCACCCACATAGCAGCTAACAACTGTCCATAACTCCAGTTCCAGGGGATCCTTCTGACCCCCGTGGGCATTGCATGACAATGGGTACATTTACCTACCATGCAGGCAATACATGCATGCACATAAAATAAAAATAATAAATAAAATATTTTTAAAAATAAATAAAAAATAAACAATATCCTAGATCAAATATACCTAACAGACATCTACAGAATATTCTACCCAAGCACCAAAAAATACACTTTCTACTCATCAGCCCATGCAAGTTTCTCTAAAATTGACCACATACTGGGGTACAATACAAACCTCAACAAATACAAACAATTTAAATAATGCCATGCATTTTATAGGAACATAATGCAATAAAACAAAATCAACAGCAAGAAGGAGGAGGAGAAGGAAGAGGAGGAGGAGAAGAAATAATCTAGTAACTACACAAACTCATGGACATTAAACAACACACTACTGAATGATAAATGAGCCAAAGGATAAATCAAGAAAGAAATAAAAGTATTCCTGTAACTAAATGGAAATAGTAATACAAAACAACTGAACCTCTGGGACACATTAAAAACAGTCCTGAGGGAAGTTAATAGCTCTAAGTGCCTACATTTAAAAACCAAAAAGAGGCACAAATAAATAACTACAACTTAATGCTACAACTCAAGAATCTGGAAAGGCAAAAACAAACTAAGCCCAAACCCAGAAAACAAGAAGAAATAACAAAAATCAGAGCTGAGATCAATGAAGTAGAAATTTAAAAAAAACAAATACAAAGAATCAGTGACTCTAAGACCTGGTTCTTTGAAAAGATAAACAAGATAAACAGACCCTTAGCCTAATTAACCAAAAAAAAAAAGAAAGAACAAATCCAAGTCAACAAAAATCAGAGATGAAAGGGGAAACATCACAACAGGCACCAAAAAGGTCTAGACCATTATAAGGGAATACTTTAAAAACCTATACTCTATTAAATTTGAAAATCTAAAATGAAGGAATGAATTTCTAAATCCATGGAAATCATCAAAGCTAAATAAGAAGAGAGAAACAGCTTAAAAGAACCCATAACAAATAAAGACATTGAAACAGTAAACAAAAACTCCCAACTAAAATTAGCCCAGTCTCAGATGGAGTCACAGTAGAATTCTACCAGACATTCAAAGAAGATCTACAATCAGTACTACTTAAATTATTCAAAAAGATAGCATCAGAGGCAGAACTCTCAAATTCCTTCTATGAAGTCAGTATTACTCTAATACCAAAACCAGGTAAAGACACAATGAAAAAGAAAACTAAGGCTCATATCCTTAGTGAACGTAGATGCAAATATTCTCAAAAAAAATCTTGCAACCTGCATACAGAAACACATCAAAAAGATCATCCACCATTATCAAGTCAGCTTTATTCCAGAGATGGAGGGAAGGTTCAATATATGTAAGGTAATAAATGTAATAAATCATATAGATGGACTTAAAGACAAAAATCACATGGTCATTTCAATAGATGCAGAAAAGGCCTTTGACAAAATCCAACATGCATTTATGGTAAAAAGTACTAAAGGGGATTGGACTGGAGAGACTATATCCTAACATAATTGAAGCTATATACAATAAACCTATAGCCAACATCATTATAAATGGAGAAAAACTGGAAGCATTCCCATTAAAATCAGGAACTAGACAAGATTGTCCATTATCCCCATTCTTTTTCAATACAGTGCTTGAAACTCTATTAAAGCAATAAGATGAGAAAGGGAAATTAGAGGGGTACTAATTGGAAAAGAAGAGGTCAAATTACATGTATTTGCAGATGATGTGATATTATACATAAGAAATTGCAAAAATTCTACCAGAACATTTCTAGAAATGATCAACACTTTTAGCAAAATATTAGGATACAAAATTAATCTACAAAAATCAGTAGACCTTCTATATACAAAGATCAAGCAATCAGAGAAAGAGTTCATGGAAACACTTCCATTCACAATAGCATGAAAAAAAAATAAAATAAAATATCTAGGGATAAACATAACCTAACCTAACCTAACCTTTCATTAAAGAACTCTTCAATGAAAACTTTAAATCTTTGAAGCAAAATATCGAAGAAGACACAAGGTAATAGAACGACCCCTCATGCTCATGGATTGGAAGTATTAATACTGTGAACATGTCCATCCTACCAAAAACAATTTACAGATTCAGTGCAATTCCAATCAAAATTCCCATGCTGTTTTTCATAGAAATAGAAAAGTTCATTCTAAAATTCATACATAAATACAACAGACCCCAGATAGCCAAAGCAATGCTGACCACAAAGAGCAATGTGGGAGGACTACCATACCAGACCTCAATCTACTGTATAAGCTATAGTCATAAAAACAGCATAATATTGGCAAAATAAAAAAACACATGTAGATCAATGGAACAAGATAGAAGAATCAAACATGAATGCGTGCAATTACAGCTACCTGATATTTACAGAGATGCCAAGAGTACATAGTGAAGAAAGAGCATCTTCAACAAATGGTACTGATTCAACAAAATTGAATCACCAAGTGTAGAAGAATGAAATCAGACCCATATCCATCACCCTGCACAAAAATCAACTCCAACTGGATCAAAGGCCTCAATGTGAAGCCAGAAATACTGAAATTGTTAGAAGAAAACAGGCAGTGCCCTATAAGATACAGGTGCAGGAAAGAGCTTTCTTTCTAAATCAAACATCTGTTGCTCAGGAATTAAGGTCAACAATTGACAAATGGGACCTCGTTAAATAAAAATCTTACCGAAAGGAAACAACCAATTGAACGTAAAGAAAGCCCACAGAGTGGGAGAAAACCATCACCAGCTATACAACCGGCAGAGGATTAATACCTAAATAATACACAAAGAACTCAAACAAAGAAGCAAGAAAGCAAAGGATGC